GGAGGGTGGGCTTGTGGCTGCTCTCCTGTTCGCGTGCAAACTCGCCCAGCGTGTAGTGCCTGATAAACGAGTGATGACGGGCCATGCCCAGGGAGCTGCCCCCCTGGCTAGGCACGCTGGTGAATCCCTGCCGCCGCGGGAAGTAATAGACCGTCACCACATCGAAACGAACCTTTTTTCCTCTCGGCGACGGCTTGTGCTGTCGGAGGATGGAGGTCGCTGAGGTGGGGGCAAATAGAAATATTTGTAAGTCAAAGGCCTGCATTAGAGATGGCTGGATGGACTAAGTGTCTCCCCCCCGACTGTGTGGGTTGGGGGGGGGGGGGGGGGGGGGGGGGGGGGGGATTGTAACTGTAAGACTGTATAGCTGTAACTACCCCTGACTAACGTATTAATTAGGGATGTCCGATGTTGATATCCGGTATGTCAGTGTTGTCCGAACACCTCATTTCCGATTTCGATATCAACCGAAAATGGATAGGACTCAATGACTCAAGGTTTTTTTTTTTTTTTTTACTGTCATTGCAACACATGATAGACATGGGATCAACGAAATGAGTTTCCCCTGATCCCGGCTCAAGTGCAGGTGACAGAGGAGAAAGGGTTCAAAAGAATACAGGGTTCAAAGAAAGAGAAGAGAGGAGGAAAGTGTCGATTGTGCAAATGTAAGACAAAGACAACAACATTGTGCAAAAGACAACAAGAGCAACATATGTGAGGAAGTTGTGAGGAAATGGGTCTGCGGGGTGGTTGGATGGGGTGGCAGAGGATGTTGGACGGGGGTGGGAGGTGTTTGGGTGTGGGGGGTTTACAGGGGTCCACCGGAGTTCAACAGTATGACAGCTTCAGGGATGAAGCTGTTCCTCAGTCTGGTGGTCCTGCCTTTGATGATCCTTAACCATATATATATATATGTATATATGTATATATATATATATGGTACATATATATATATATACATATATATGCCCACTGCATATATATATATATATATATATATATGTACCATATATATATATATATATATATATGCAGTGGGCAGTGGTGGAAGTAGTTTAGTGCCTGCTCATCAACAGTTGTGTTTCTCAATTATTTTCTGCCCCCCCCCCCCTAAATACTATATAGCACCTAGTCATATTTATTTATTTATCTGCACACACCACTGTAAGAGTTACTAGCATTCTGCATACAATGCCCTGATTATCGATGCAGATCAATAAACCGAGCTGCATCACTGCCATCTAGTGACGAGAGGCCTGCTTATCTGCTATTCGTAATGTTCTGTGTTCATGTGTTATTTAAGGAGTTAACAGTTGCAAGTATGTGAGTGGGAGTGAGGAGGTGTGGTGAGAGCGAGCGCGCGTGTGTGTGTGTATATGAGGAAGAGAGAGTGCAGAAAGAGAGTGTGAAAAGAGGAAAAGGCGTTTTTTGGAGAAGCTGGGTTGAGAGAAATCAAGGAGTTTTGAACGCGTTATCGCAATTGTGTTTCAATAAAAGTTCTTCAGAGAGCTCTGAGGCATCTGACTGGTCTGTCGCCGGGGCATTAAACAAGTTTTAGAGCAGTCATTATGTGGTAAAACCCAGGCGGGTTTTCAATATCGGAGGAAAAAAAAACGCTTACGATTCTTAAAGATATTACAAAATATAATATTACACAATATAATATTACTAATATCGGGCCAATATAATCGGACATGTTTCTGTTGTTAATCATCGTTAATTCAAGTTACAAATGTTGTAAAATTGCTCGTGTGTAAGCCGCATTTGGACCGCGGGCCTTGGATTGGACACGCGCTCCAAAAACTAACATTATGTCAGGAGACAGACATTTTACTCCAAAAAAGTATTTTCTCAAGTTTCAACATTCAAATGGATATTATTGCAAAATTGTAACGGTAACTAACCAAACACAGAGTTTGCCGATTAACTTTAATTTTTGTTTCTATGACATTTGGTAGCCCTCAGACTTCATCCATCATGTAGTGAATTCATAAAAAATTATTATTGCAATCCTTAGGTGTGAAATATCGTAACATGGAACTTTATTTAACTTTAACTTTAGGCGCAGATGTTCAGTTGTTCAGAACGGGTGTTGCTATCTTTTCATTTGGAACAATATTGTACTGGTAATTGTTTGAAGAGAAAAGGTAATCCATTCGATCTGATTCATTTTGCCCAGGCAGAGGAGCGTCACGGAAACTTTGAGGAGAGACTTCGACAAATGGAAGCTCACCTGGAGGAGAAGAACCAAGAACTTCAGAGGGTATTAAAAAGCGCCATCTGGTCGTGCGACACAGAAACTGGCAGTTTGTGGCTATTCGACTCGACTGGTTTCTCTTTTTTTCAGGCTAGGCAGAGGGAGAAGATGAACGATGAACACAATAAGCGTCTCTCGGACACAGTGGACAAGCTTCTGTCCGAGTCCAACGAGAGACTGCAGCTCCACCTGAAGGAACGAATGGCAGCTTTGGAGGAGAAGGTGAAGCAAAGAATCTGCAACAGTGGAACGTCGTGTCACGTTCAGTGGTCATAACAACAATGTTTGTTTTGCTGTTTTGATAGAATGCCCTTTCAGAGGAGTTGGCAAATATGAAGAAAATCCAGGATGACCTACTAGCCAATAAGGTACTTTTAACTTGTCAATTATACAGTGTGGAGTTGGTCAAAGGGAATGGTTGCTTATCTTATCCATCATATGTTGACAGCTGTGATTTTCTCTGGTCTAAATGTCTGGGGTGTAGCCCGCCATCATACTGTATGTTGACAGCTGTGATTTTCTCTGGTTTCGCAATAAGTATTACTCGTGATCAGACGCCTATTTATTTGCTGACTGTTGCTTGGAGCACGTACAACTCAACAGACCAACCAAAAACAGAGAGCAAAACATGATCACTGCTTCTCTCCGTGACGTTGCTTGTCAGATCGTCACTGGCTACGCCACCACGGGGTTTCTCATTATCGTCGAGGATCAAACAAGGGTCAATTGTTGCACATCTGTAGACTAGTGTTCAATGAACAGCTGTACAGCTTAGTTTTTTGGGTTGTAGGGTTGTACCTAACGGTCCGTCAGGTGCGTACGTGTAAAGCAAATGGCGGATTCTGGCACGGGTAGAAATTGCAGTATGGGTATATTGCAGTAAACTGATGATACATCTTGGATAAGGGGTAAAACATCTCTGAGAAACGTTAACCACTCCAGACGTGTACTTCTGCAACATTTTAGACCGCTAGTACGGACTTAAATCTGTCTCTTTTAGGAGCAACTGCTTGCTGAATTGGAACGAGTCCAGCTGGAGCTGGACCAAGTGAGAGGCAGACCGGGCTCTTCTTACTCCAGGTGAGGTTGTTGTCACAGAATGGGTTTGTGCACCGCATTAGCAGTGTCTAATTAAACTCGTGAATGCGAACAATTTGGGGCACTTAAAGCAAAATCCTTTTTATACCGAAAGGGGCAATGCAGTAGAATATTGTTCCAATACTCATAACTCGAGTGGTGTGTTGATCATTTCCCCAACTCTTATTCCTTAAGTTACAACATAAAAAAAATTTCTAATGATACAAAGCTATGCTTTTACTTTGAAGGTACTTCCGATCATAAAATGAAAAAAAAAAAAAAAATTGTGACTAAAATACTTGGACTTTAAAGAGTTCATTTTTTGATCAATGAATGCTAGCAAAACAAATGCATTAAAGTGAAGGGAGCAATAACGCAGTTTATTTATTCTTAATACTAGACTATAAAGCAGTGGCGCTTTGGCCCAGAGGCAATGTTCGAATCCCGGTTAGGGCGGAGGGGTATCTTCCAGTGGACTCACCACCCGCAGGAAGGTTTAGGGGGGGTTGGTACGGTGCTATGTGATTTGGGTGGAGACTGCTGCCCCCGCGACCTGGTAATGGATGGATGGATGGATGGATGGATAGATGGACGGACTAAAAAGCATTGTTTAGTTTTAGCTGAGCCTTTTTGTGTAAATGGTTCGATGCCATGAATTCATTTCATTCCAGACGCTAGCTTTAGCCGCAGCCATCCAATAGTCTGGAGGCATCTTGTGACAATGCCGTTCGTGTGGATCGGTATCAGTCTCTACTATGTATCGTATTTAAATATCTTCTTTTTTTTTTGTCTTTTTTTGTTTGTTTTGTCGACCTAAAATCATACATTTTGGATCTCCACTCAGGGCCGGCAGTGTGAGCTCTCTTCCCTCCACACTTTTTCGAAGATCTCTACCAGGTAGCACATCAGAGCTGCAATACCCACAGAGTGGAGGTTCACTTCCGATGGGGTATGGCAGCTCCATTGGTGGGATTGTGGTCCGACAGGGACATCGAAGTCGATGGGGGCCTCCAAAGAACGATAGTAACGAGGTGCTTAGCTTTAGCTAAAAAAAAAAAAAAAAAAAAAAGGAAAATTAGAAGAGAGTAATTGTTCTGTATGCTTCTCATTTTTACAGTACTCACTAGGGTGGTTTATTTGAAAGAGTAATTGTTCCGTATGCTTCTCATTTTTACAGTACTCACAGTGGGACAGTGGGGCAATTCTGGGTCCTGGATTTGAGGGCTCCATAGAGGGAGGCTGCTCAGACGACGACGGCAACAAAGAGACGATGTTCGAATCGGAGCTTCTTTCTCCCAACGGACAAACAGATGTGCAGACGTTGGCAATTATGCTTCAAGAACAGCTCGAGGCCATTAACAAGGAGATCAAGTTAGTTCTATTCCAGTTCAGCCTTGTCTGTCCCGTTTGTGAGTAGAGTCACAATACATTTGTACAACAGTGAGGCAGGGGGTGGTTTGAGATCTGAGCGCTAAGCTTCTATTGTAGTTAGCTTGCTAGTTAGCTTCGACAGTTTTGACAGTGGTTTGCAAACAGGATTAGAAAGTGAATTATTTGTCACTGTGACACGGCACACCACTGCACATACAACCTCTGTGTGACCTCTGCTGAGGATGACCCAAGATTTTTATGGGTCCCTCCCCTAAGGTAAAAGTAGTAGAATTCGTACTTGTATTGTTTCCTTATTCTTACTAACTATTATGAAATCATCTATTGAGTAAATGTGAAAGTAGGAAGCAAAAAAACAAAAAAAAAAACTGGGTTTAACTTGAGAACATATTTTACGTTGGATAAACCCCAATGGCGCACCACCAAACTAAAATGTACCAATGTAAATGTAATGATATTTGTTGTTTATATATATATATATAAACAACAAATATATATTTGTATTACACTTTGCATGTTTAGTTGAA